CTCCTGGTGGCCATCTGCTGGGTCATTACAAGCCTGCATGCTCTCCTCCACACTCTGCTCATGGTTCGACTCAACTTTTGCTCCAACAACACTGTGCACCACTTCTTCTGTGACCCCTATGCTGTCCTGAAGCTCTCTTGTTCTGACACCCGCATCAATGACATGGTGGTCTTCACTGTGGGTGGGTTGGTGTTTCTGACACCATTTACATGCATTGTCATTTCATACGCCTACATCTTCTCTAATGTGCTGAAGTTGCCCTCGGCCCAGGGAATAAGGAAAGCCCTGTCCACGTGTGGGTCCCACCTCACTGTGGTCTCTGTCTTCTATGGGGCAATCCTGGGGGTCTACATGCGACCTTCGTCATCCTACTCCATACAGGACATGGTGGCCTCTGTCATCTTCACAGTGGTGACACCACTGGTCAATCCCTTCATCTACAGCCTGAGGAATCAGGACATGAAAAGAGCCCTGAGGAAGCTAATTCTCAGATCAGCAAATTAGAGAACTTTACAGCTGATAATTATTTTTATGAACATTGAGGAAAACTCACATAAGCCTGTTCTTGTAATTATTAATAAGTGAGGATAATCATGCTTTGAAATTTCAGGCTGACAGGTACTCACAGTCATCAGACCCATAATTTGAGATGTATTAAAATCGGTCAGGAAGCCATAGAGATAGCTCAGCAGACTAAGTGCCTGCCTGGCAAGTGCAAGGGCCCAGGTTTAATATCCGGTACCTTGTGCCTTGTCAGCCAAGCCCTGGGAAAGCCAAGCCAGTCACTAGGACTGAGCATGGTGGTGCACACCTGTAATCCTAGTTCTGAGGAAAACAGGAGGATCACTATGTCCCTGAGTTGCATAGTGAGATCCTGTGCTAAACACATTAAAAAAAAAAAACAAACAAAACCCAACAAACCAATGAGTCTAAGGTATTCATTTTATAGGTGAGAAAAACCAAGGAGCAGAATTGTTTGGATGCATATTTTTAGGTTGCTTCACGAACCCTCCAATGTGAATGCCCCCCTCCATGCTCTGGGAATTTCAGAAGACTTTTGGGGTGACCTTCGGCAGCAGCACCTGCACTCTGTGGCCTCGGATGAGGAGGTGTCACAGTGCTCTTAGTGACTGAAACACAGGTTAATGTGCCTCGGCTGACCGCGCTGGTAGGTGCGGATCTTCAGTGTCCTGACTGCAGTCAGATCATTGTTACTTCCACATTGTCACTCTTCGTGTGTCCAGAGCCGAAGGACTCTCCTGCCTCGTTCTGCTCCAACACAGTCCTCCTCTCTGGGTCACCTCCTCTCTCCTATGCGCATCTGTTTCAGGTTTTGTCCTTCAGCACAGGTACAGTCTGGATGGGCGCCAGGAAGGTACATGCGGCAGCTCTCCCTACAACTCGTGGTGACCCCTCAGGAGTAGCTGAGCTGCAGGAAGCAGACTGTGTCTTAAAGCTAAAGCCTTGAGTAACCACAACGTGAACTCACTGAAGAAAAGGGCCTTAAATACAGAACTTCAGATTCCAAATCCAGTTTGTTCTAGGCCAATTCTAGGAGTCCAAGGCTCTTCTCCACTTCTACCTCTGAGAACAGAGCTACATTTCTTTTCTGGTGTCCAAAAGCAGTTCCCCAGAATTAAAGACAGTTATTGCTGAAGAACGATCAGCCTTCAGTTGCCCCACCCTCAGTGGCCTTCCTGCCTGTCATGTCCCCTCTCCGTTCTCTTCAGCGTCATGGCCCGCTGACCCTCACCATCAGCTCTGTGCTAGGACAACCTGCCGCTGACCAGCTCTTGCACTGACCCCAGCAGAGGCGCTTGAGAATCCACAGCCTCCCTCCTCCACCTGGGCATCTCTGTCTGAACTCAGTCTCAATTTAGAATATTGAACTTATCCTGCAAGCAATCCTCAGAAAATCTGGAAGAGGCCAGGAAGCACCCACATATTTTCCCTTTAGATAGGAAGTCTGGCATTGCTTGGCATCGAGCTGGCCTTATAGCTTTGGGCTTCATCAGACACACGGTTTCTCTCTGCTCTCCCGTGTCTCTCTGAGTTCTCCTCAGGCTTCCTTTCCCTCTCTGCTGAAGCACTCCTCTGAGTGAATCTCTTCCAATCATGTGCTTGTCTTCAGCCCTTCACGGATCCCACCCCACAGGCACAGTGGAACTCACCATACGGGCTCTCAGGACGTGAGTGGTGGCAGCAAGGAGCCTGACTGCGTGTGAAAGACTTCACGTACCTTATGGCTTCTCAGTTTTCCTTTAGAGGGAGTTCAAGAGGAGCATTTGTGCTATAGCAACATGAACTGTTAGTGTTTAATGTTCTGTAGCTCATCGTGTTCCCAACACACCCAGGGCTTCATCGCCCGATCTTTCATCTCTTTGTTGCCTTCCACTTGAAAAGTGTCCCAGACAGCTTATGCATGTACGTGTGCCCGCATGTGCTCAGTAGGGCACTTGTTCCCCTAAAAATTGCCCGAATGAGTTATCACTGATAGCGTAAGACAAGTCTAAGGGGTGAGAGGAGCTGACAGATTTCTTAAAATATGGAGAATTACTGACCTTAAGACTGTTATACAGTGGAGCCCTTTCTACTATTCACTTAGTTTGCCTGATGGAAGGACAGGATTTATACACAGAAATGGTTGGTCTGTCTTTCCTTGCTTTTCTCATCTCAAACAAGTGGGAAGGACATGGCCCTCTTAGGCTCTGGTCAGCCCAGAGGTTGTGCTGTGGACACCGCATCCCTAGAGCAGGCGTTGACAACTTCCCAAGCGTGAGCAAAGAACTTCCCTAATGTTGGTCTGCGCACTCATGACCAGTTGTTCATCATGAAAAGAATACTGAAGACAGCGTCCCAGGTCACTGCTGAGAGACAGTTACTTCCCTGTGAGAGATGCTTCTCTCCTCCAAAACAGGCACAGGAAGTGTTTCTAAACCTGCGTCTGTTTTCCTTCTAATGATCTGCCTTTCTTTAGAAGAGACTTTCTCCCAGCTGAAAGCCTCTGGAGACTAGGAAAAGAAGCAATGCTTGTGTCTACTTCATAGGAAATTAGGAGTTCACAGTGCCAGGCAACAAAAATCAGAATCATGAAACCTAGACTCTAAGCAATGAGAGTGTCACAAGTTCACTGCAGGGGACAGATTCCATTACATTCTGGGACTCAACCAGGAAGCCTGGCTGAATGGGGAAAGCTGGGGCAGAGGTGTATTTCTGTGTTTATCTCCTTCAGCTCTACTCACAGTCTGTGTGTGTGTATGTGTGTGTGTGTGAAGTGCAGTGAGGAAAGTCAGAGAACCTAGTGCAGAGTCTGCTGAGCCCAAAGGAAACCCACTCTCCAACCACAGGTTCACCACAATCAATCTGGGGATGTCACTTTAGGCCGTATTAAAGCCCCCCTGAAAGAACTCACAATAGTGTGATGTGAGAACTGGAAAGGCCCCAGCCTGAGAGAGGAGCCTGGGAGGACTCCACCCTGGTGTGGGTCTGCATGTTGGACACTCACAGGACATGAATGGGTCAGAAGTCACAGCACAGCATCCTGAGGGGTCTCTGCTGATGCTATGGTAAGCAGTCCTCCCTATGGAATTCCAGGAAGTTAGGACTGTGGCTGCTGAGCTGTCCTCCAGGGCCTGAGTTTCCAGGGAACAGGCTTGTGCCATGAGCCTCCTTCTTACATCGTGGGGCTCTGGATCCACTGCTCTGTGGGACGCACAGGCAATTCCCACCCTGAGCTAGTCAGGCATTAGTGATCAAAGCTTTGGGAGCCAATTAAACAACTCAGGGAGAGAAGTCTGACTGCAGCTCAATGAATGTTGAAATAGAGCATCATCCTTCATACCACTCCTCAGAGACCACACTCTCTTGAGGAACCAGGAGACTACCGCCATGGCTGTGGGAAGGATTTCTGCATTTCATAGATTAGTTCCCTCTCCCTGCCCTTCAGGTTTCTACTCCAAAGCCCCCAACTTGCAGAAAGCCTCCATGAAAGAGCCTGGTAGTGTGCCTACAAGACAAAGAAGCGCTTCTGGCCATTTGCCGGTGATTCCATCCCGGAAGTAGTTGTTATTGGCCTCCCACCTGACTTTCTCCTGGTTTCTCAGAGTAGAAGCTCAGCTCCTGGCCCTGTGTCACCTTGATGTCCACGGGCCTTCAGTGATGACTGCCCTGGGAGTTCACCTGGGGCCACACAAATATTGAGAGCTGGCTTCCTCTAACCAGTAAGCTTTAAATCCTTACAAAGCTGGCTGTCAATGGCAACTGCGCATGTGTGAGTCTCCCTGCACTGCTGAGTCTCTTCAAGCGCTCACCTATTATTTGCTCTGCGCTTCATGCTTCATGCTGCTGGCCAGGAAATACTAGTTTGAGCCCCTTAGCAAAATTGGTAGCAAACCTGCACCGGCGGGACCTGCCGATCCCAGTCCAGGCGTAGCGTGGGTGAGACCCTCTTCCACGCCCTTGGGACGCCCCTCACCACTCCGCAGCACACCCCCACACCCTGCCCACCGAATAGGAATTTCTGCCGTGTTCCAGGAACTCCCAGATCCAGTCCTAGCCCAGGCCTGGTGAGTGTGTGGGAGAGCACCCAGCTACCCTGAGCCGGCGGGACCTGCAGGTCTAAGCCCAGGCACAGCATGGGTGAGATCCTCTTCCACCCTCTTGGGCCCCCCACACCACTCTGCACTACCCCCCCACTCACTCAGTGAGACTTTCTGCCGCGTTCTGGGGACCCCCAGATCCAGCCCTAGCCCAGGCCCAGTGAGTGTGTAGGAGAGCTTCCTCTCCCCGCTACTCCTCCTTGTCCCCTCCAGACTCAGCTCAGGCCTGGATTACAGGCCTAGGGTGAAACCCTGCCACTGCAATCCTTGCAGAGAGTGTAGGGGACAGAACCACCCAGCTAGTCCAGGAGTAGAACATCTTGCCAGAGGGGCACAACAGGTTCACCCCAAAGGGCAGCAGCAGAAAGGAGCTGACCACAGCAGCCAGACCCAAGCCAGGCACAGCTGGATAAATCCAAACTTTGTAGTTCTGCACCTGAACTTCAGTAGGTGCTAAGGTTATAACTGCACCAAAGCTCTACAACAAAGGTCAGAAGACAGTGCTACACAAAATGACAACGAGAAGGAGCAAAACGCAATCTCAGACCCCAAGCCCACACATAACAAGTGCAGAGGACACTAACACAGAACAAATTGGCAATCACACAGCTGAAATCAATGAATCAACAGCTTCTGAAATAAAGAAACAGCTGCAGAAAGGTATAGAGGAACTCAGATTGAAAATGAAAAAGAAATTCCTGAATCAATAGCATCTGCAGTAAAGAATCAAATGCAGAAACATGGAGGAAACCCAATGCCCACACAGAACAAGTGCAGAGGACACTAGCTCAGCTCAAATGTATGAATTAATAGCGTCGATAGTAAATAAGCAACAGCAGAAAGTCATAGAGGAACTCAGAGTGGAATTCTTTTCTGAAATAAAAAAAGAATTCCCTGAACTCATAG